AAGACAACGTGTATATGCAATAAATGTAAACTATCATGTTAAATAATCATACTTTAAAAGGTTAAAACAAATAAGAAAAGCAATTTTGATTTATTTATATTTTATTCACCAAGTTTGAAAACAAATACATCTGATATGTGTAGATTATATGAATATAAACTGCGTACATATATCTTTGCTATATGATAGTTGATCCATTAATTGTTATTCTCCATAGTAATGTCTTCTACTTTTTTTACAATAATTAAGATAATTGGCATTCATATAAAATTCTTTTTTGGTCCTATAAAATGTACTGTTAAAAAGTTCTAGAATTTGATACTGCTTAGGAGCGGATAACTCCCATACGTATAGTGAAAGGTGAGTCTCAAAATGATGTTACATGTATCAATGTCCTGGTTTAAATCCATCCTCAGTCCTTCCACAATTCCGTGGCAGTTGTTATCAATTTGTTTTAGTTTCCACTATAACCTTTCAGGTGTCTTTGAATTTCTGTCTTCTCAGTTTTCTAAACTGAAGTAGAAAATACATCACTTAAATAATTGTACCAATAAATTTTGTTTCATACCATATCCATTTAATGTATAAGACATAAAGCGTTATTGTGTGTGTGTGTGTGTGTGTGTGTGTGTGTGTGTGTGTGTGTGTGCAAATACATATTACTATATTATTTCCTGCCGCCCAACCTATCCTTATATTCATGCCTATCCTACATATTAAATAGGCACTTTTCAGTAATCAGTGTTTTAGTCCAGGACATTTTCCAACACAGTTTTTGTGGAATAATAAAATTGTATCTACCTACCTTCCCTTTGTTGAAGCTAACAGTTTGTCTTAACTTATCAAGGACGAAAAAGATCAAGAAAACAGCTTCCCTTTACAAATGACATAACACGTTAAAAAATGCCCTACGTGTATCTAAAAAAATATAAAATAACTCACCCTGCATATTTTTGGTATTGCTTAGGCTTTTGTGCTGTAATTTGTTGGTTCACCAGCTAGATCCAAACTAACAGTATCATTAAATGTCTGTATCTGTCATTTCTGTATTCTGAAATTATTTACAGAAATATTATTAATACTGGACACTTATTAATTTGAGAAATAAATAAAGATTGCTAACGTACTAAGTTTAAATAAAACGAAATATATTGCTTTCATTATCAATTTTAAGTTATTGGACAGATTCCAGGCAAGGATCCACACTTGAGGTTTGTAAAAAGGGGGAAGGAGATCTCCATTTTGAAAATCACGTGATTAGTTCTTATTTCTTTTTTCAAACTTTTTTTCCCAATAAATGTTTTAAAGCACAAACGTTACTACAGTATTTTCAATTTAAACTTAACACAAAATCTAAAGTACAACAGTTTTTTTTTATCTATTTGTAATATTTTGGAAGGAAATCCTTTAAAAAGGGGGAAGGTGAAGCTGTGTGAAATTCCTTATCACGTAAACAAATTTGAAACCTTAAGTATATAACGGCAACATTTATATTTTGATAATACGTGTATATACAAATTGTACTTACAATAAAAGTCATAAACTTACATATATATTCCTTTTACAGTTGTGTTTTTAATCGGCTCTCCTGGTCCGTTTTGAATTCCTTATTCCTTTGTTCTGGTGCATTTGAAGGCGGAAACATGCGGCGTTCTCAATCACGTGGTATCTTTTTGAATCGCAAAGGTCACGACGTGTTTAGGCTCTAAGCATGTAAGGCATTACATGTTGTAATTCTAAACATGTTTAGATTGAGGACATTATGGAATCATATGTGCATAGCATGTAAACACTTTCCTAAACATGTTTAGACTTAAACATGTTTAGGAAATGTTTAGGCTCTAAGCACAATTATTACAGTGTAGGCTTTCAATATAAAACATTGTATTTCTGTGAATATAACGATTTAAAGGTATATTCAAAATTGTTAATCTTTTCTGATAAAATATTAATTTTGTAGATATATTTTTCCTGAATCTCTTGACTTACTGCTTCAGACTTTATATATACGGAGAATTGGCGTGTTCCAGTGACATTTACAGCCGGTATATATAGAAAAATACGCGTTCTACATCATGCACATGAAGAGTGATATAATAACTTTATTTAGGTTTTCTTAAAAACATTTTTTAACTTTTTTTCCGGAAAATTAACGTGTGTACTGAAAATCAGTAACATCCCCGCAGAGAACAAGCAAAACATTAAAGAGTTAAATTTCCCAGTGTTTGCAGGGAAGGTCATCTTTACCATTATACTTTCAACGGAATATGATATAAAGATGAACAGGAATATCTGTGTTCCCCCTTGACCCAGTGGATTTATACCTAACAGCTCTCTGTTTGCTAATTTAGTAGAGCGTTAAGTTAGCTCATTTCATAGAGCGGTGGTTCACTGTGGTAAAGTGGTATTTTTGGCATGGTCTGAGATTATATCTGGGCTCATATTGAGGTTTTCGTTTTAAATAGTATGGGTTTGGACACTGTAGTTGCTTTCCTTGACCCAGTAGACTTAAAACCACCTTTCCTCAGCCGTACTAGTACTTATTTTGCTCAATTCGTAGAGGTTACATGTAACTGTGTCAGAGATCCTGGGTTCAGCTTACGACTGGTATATAATAATAGTAAAAAATACATCAAGCTCTTTCGTTACATATGTTTTCAGTATTAATATACGATGAACAGATTTAAAATTTGTAAATACAGACAATTTATTTTTTTTGAAACATTAACCCTCATTTTGGAAATTCGAGTCTGTTTCTCTATTTATATCTAAATGTAGGTGAGGAATCACAAAGCAGCATCTTTCTCCAAGGGATTTTCAGGACTCAAGACAGGCATGCTTTGTTAACATGATCCCAAATTATGCAAACAAAGTAAATTAACTGTTCTTCCAAGGCAGACAATTCCAGTCTCATTTGCGGCACATTGTTTTTGGTGATGAACAAGCCATAAATTATAGCTGATGAACAACCCACAAATTATTATCTTCCAACTGCAATCGATATCCATAATGTAGAACGAGCGCTATTTTTAGACCTAAACATTTGGTCTTCAACATTAAACAAACAGATAATGTTACATAAACATTGACAATATGACTCAAAGGATGGAGGCTCTTTACCAAATATGTACAAGTTGTTCATCTACAATTCTAACTGTCAGCCAACTCATTGGTTGGGAGTTCGAACCTTAATGGTAACATGATGTATTCGACTTGAATCTTGATTGACAAGGATTAAGAGTTTTCCTGCCGAATGTAGGTGGTTATATCCGGTTACTCCGGCTTCCTCCACCAATACAAACGATGATTTACGTATAGCCGCTTCTGCAAAGAGTCTGAAAATGGGATTATGCATCAACAAACAAGTTAACCACTTCCACGTTTACATGTTTTGCCTTGTCCTTTACAACGAAACTTGAACTTGATGCATGCGTGCAAATGTGTATGTAAGAGTTATAATAATAACCCATATTTCAGTCAGTACTTGCATCTCATATATCCCAGTGAACTTGAAATTAAGGATACTACTGATACAAGAAGGACTACTTCATACCTTGATCTTTTCCTCAATATTGACACAGATGGACGACTTCACACTAAAATCTATGACAAACTGGATGATTTCAACTTCCCAATTTTCAATTTCCCATTTCTCTGCATTTGCATTGCTATACGACGTGTCTCGGTATTTTGTACATCCAACATTCATGTATTCATTTTTGAAGTTTTTGTTATGGTTTCGGTTGAATAATGTTTTATATCTTATCGTTTGTTGTCCAAATAATTATAAAATTGCCTTTCAATACCATCATTGTCATATTCCAGAATATGACTGTTATACCGAGTGTGAATTTGCATTGCTATACGACGTGTCTCGGTATTTTGTACATCCTACATTCATGTATTTATTTTTGATGTTTGATGGTTTCGGTTGGATAATGTGTTATGTATTATCGTTAGTAGTCCAAATTATTAAAAAATTGCCTTTCAATACCATCATTGTCATGAAAATTGTTTGGACGAGTATTGTGAAAATAATTGTATAAAGTTCGAGTTAGCATGTTAGTTACGTAAGCGCGTCATTGTTTGTGATATCCTGTGGTGTTTGTCGTTGTTCTGCGGTTTACATGTTGTGTCAACTATTATATTATTTGTTTGTGCGTTTCTCTGTGATGAATGTTATTGCGTGTGTTTGTGCTGTATTTCTGTCAAGTAGTGTTGTCATTTTAGCAATATTTTTTAACATTGTCATAAAGCGGGAGGTTTGGCTAGCCATCAAACCAGGTTCAACCCACCATTTTTTCTTAAAATGTCCTGTACCAAGTCAGGAATATGGCAGTTGTTATCAAATAGTTCGTTTCTATGTATGTTGGCGTTTGTTTTTGTTGCACTTCAGTGTTCTTGTTGTTCCTTTGTTTTCCTCTTATAGTTGATGTGTTTCCCTCGGTTTTAGTTTGTAACCCGGATTTGTTTTCCATCAATCGATCTACGACTTTTGAACACCGGTATACTACTGTTGCCTTTATTTATAAACGTGAGCTTTTTTTCTTTTTCTTTTTTTTTTTTTTTTTTTTTGTTGTTGGTAAAACAATATTTCATTTAGGCTTACTCCTCCTGAGAACTTGAGTTCACCTGTATTTTGTTGGGTTCATGTTACTTCTAATTTTTTTAAGTGTAGCGTTTTCTTTTCAAATTTTTCTTCTGTTGATGGTATTGTCTGATTTTCTTCGACTTATTTTGTATTGTACCTTAGCATTTCCTAAATGGACAGATGGAAATCAAGGACTTTGTTATCTTGCAGGAAATTACCGTAATACAATCGATCTCCATATGATTTACGTCAGTAAGAAAATTGTACTATCTCTTACATAGCAAAAGCAGCAAGATTTCTGGGAAAGGCGATACCAAAAGAGTTTTCTATGATCTGTTTGAATTACGTTACAGCGTCATAACAAAACGGTCTTTTAGACTGCAATATGTGACGGCGATTCCAACTAATGAAACCCGAAAGAAAACTTTATTTAAGTAATTATGACAATTCATGTGTGACTCAAGATTACTTCTCTTTGAAAAAAAATCATACAAAGGTGTTTTACATTTGCGCCATAAAAACAAAAGTATTGTTATTGTTTTCGGGTATTACATTCCAGATAATTCTAAGCGATAAAGCCATCGCCCATGTACAGCGACCCATAAGTATCCACTTTTGTCAATTGCCATTACTCCGGGTTTTTCGATTCCAACGTGACATAAATCCATCATAGACAGAATATCACCGTGTTTTGATATAATATGTAATGTATTTGTAAATTTATCAGAAACAATAACGTTTTCTGATTTTGTAGCAAGTACTTCAACAGCAGAAAATGGATATTCGTTTGTATTAATAGAAGGGTTTCCTTCATAGGCCCACTGAATAAATCGGTTTTCAGAAAACATGACTATACGCCCGAGATAGTCATCTATTGAACGACAGTCGATAAAACAAAGTCCGCCATTTTCGGTTGCTGTGATACTTCGAGGAAAATGGTAAATAAATAGCGGTATGCCATTTCTATCATTTTCATATGTCGCTTTTGATTTTCCCGATATTTCGAGAACAACTAGTTTGGCCTGAAGTTGAATTTTTGATTTCTTTCCTTTGTCCTCAATTACTCCTACCACGATATTATCTTCGGTAATAAGAAGTGTAGTTGGTTGGTGAGGTGAAAAATTGTGCAAAACTTTTGTTTTCTTATTAGGTGATAACATCTGAACTTGATTTCCAGTTGTATAGAACAAGCAGTTGGATTTCCCTGCTGCAATTTCAAGCGCATTAATATCGCGAAATTCGTCTATAACGCTCATGTCTCTGTCTGGATCAACATGCCGAATTCCTTCGTAGCTACCGTAATATAACCATAGCGAATTGTTGTCTTGGACTGTTATACTACAGACATAGTGATCGACACAATATGTGTTTTTGACGGAAGCGGACACCAAGAACCCAACCAACTTTGATACTTCGGGTTGAATTGTAGATTCGAGAAATTTCACGATTGCAGAACTTGTAGGAGTACTGTTTAATTCTATTTCGTCAAGTTTACCCTCTAATTCATCAACTTCTTTTGACAGCACCTTTGAAGGATCCTTAGAGTTTACTATATCATCAATAGTACTTTTATGACCGAGAAGGTCTTTCTTTGACAATTTAAGTGTGCTCTCAAGATCTTTTAATTTTATTTCATTGTTCGTTCTTGTCATATCTACTGTTGATAAAAGCTCCTCAAAATACTTTCTAAATATTTTAGACAAAGTTTGTTCCTTTCTCAAAATATCTGCTCTTAATTTTTTAAACTCAAGATCATCAGATATTGTTTGCACTTGAAGGAAACTTAATTTCTCTTCAACCTGAACCATAATGTCTCCATCAATTTTGCTCCTCATATTCTTGTAACGTGATATTTTTTCAGCATAGATTTTATCGATTTCTGTCAAATCGTGCTTTTGGTGTAAATTTGCTATACACAAAGGACAAACTAGCTGTGTACAAGAAACGCAAAATAAACAAACTGTTTGGGAAGTATGAATGTCACATGCGATGATTTTAAGATCAGTTGTACCACTGTTTTCATTTTGATACGAGGCAATATCTTTGATGTCAACAACTTTATGCATATTTGCATGTTTAAATTTAGAATGAACTTTTTCTTGACATTTTGCACACATCAATAGATCACAGTCAATGCACTTACATTTAATTCTTGTGTCTTGTTCACATAATTGACACGGCAAATTATGTTGTGCTTTTCGAAACGAAGTCGCCATTTTGATTATTGATTTAAAAATAAACAAAACATTAGATTTAAAATCAGACCTTATACTCTCCTTCCTGGTTATTTAATCAGTTTACACTGATCGTTCGTGTGTACACATTTTTTGTTTACATTTTGTGAAGTGAAACATTTTCATAATATTATTATGATATTTAAATGTGCAGTTTTAACATTAAAGATCATTAAACTCATATGATACTTCAAATTAAAAAAAAAGTTGAATATGTTTTATATACTTGAATGTTTTACTATGAAACAAGTGTACATAGACTTTCTTTCAAAAGAAAATTCTTTAACTTATCAAAATCTTCAGAAATGTACTATTATTGAACAATTGTCTTCACGTTTTATAATTCACTAACAGCTTTTTTCCATATGTAGTGCCCTTATAACCATGCACTTCTTGTCATAACTTCGACAACCGCATAGTGCAAGTTCGAGGGGAAAACTGTGATATAAGATCAGGTAATAAGGTGGATGGTAGGTACTGCCATTAATTCTAAAAGTAAAAAATTAATATAGCAAATAATTTAACAACTGTTACCACCCCGTATAACCCCGACACAAATGAATCCGGACGTTGCCGCGTTCGAAGCGATAATCAGGACAACATTTTGGATGACGACAATTTCGAATGCCTTTTAGAACTTATGTGACTCAATGTGTACATGGCAGTTTATTTAATCAATTATAAAATTGTTGCAAGTTTCCGATTTTGTAAAAAACATGAAAAACGTTAAATGAAAATGCTAGATGCAAAACGCACAGGCATGGTGCAATTTTATACATTTTATGAGGTAAACCTTGTTCAATATCTTTTCTTACATAAACTTTTGTGTAGCAATACTTTAAGCAATGATAATTAACTACACGTAAAATTACCACGTGCCTTTAAATGTTCCCTAAAAGTCCAAATAAACACGATATCGTTCTATATAAGTTCATCTTATACTGTATTGTTCGTTTCACCAAATATGTCAAGTTCGTTGCTCTCTCTTTCAAATAATCACTATACAATTCGTTGACAAAAACCGTCACAAAACCATGTCTTTTTAATGTATTCGTGATGGGAGCAGTACCTTTTTCTGTGTTTCATAGTAAATTTGCATCTGTAACTCTTGTCGAAGTAGTCAACCATGAAGTTATCAGTCATACAAAGCCATAATTGAAATGTTTTATCCAGCGCACATCGTAAGGCAATTTTTTATTGAAGACTAGGAATTTCCACGTTATTCCAGATGAAATAAAGTTAAAAAATATATATATTACAGCCAATAAAACTTCAATATCTTTTACTTTAGGGATTTTGAGCCTCTCTTAAATACAGATGTTGGTCCAAGTTCGCCTAAACGAAAACAACCAAATAAGCTCGTTGAACATTGTTTGCCGAATGCATTAGATGACGAGTCAAGTCCTTTCCAACTGTTTTATATAGTCAATTCTTATCTTGTGTTTTACAAGGATTGACTTGCAAACATGTTTAACCCCGCCGCATTATTTAGCGGTATCATTGACAGGGGTGCACCCATACATTTTTCATATGTTTCAACCGCCCCTTGAGAAATTTCTAAAATGGTAGCAGATGATTAACTCAGAAATTGATAATTGTCAAAAATATTTTATGCTATTAAGAAAGTCTTGCAAAGATCCTTAAATTCAATACAAACTATTGTGCATTTTTTCTATGATTGTCCAATTACATTTCAATTTTGTTCATCTTTAATAAAGCGAATAAAATTGTATGACAGGAATTTTGTCGTCAATAAAGAGCAGTTATTCCTTTTTTCTATTCGGAAACCTTATTTATAAATCTTTTATTTATAGTAGCTTCGAATTCATTTTTGGACGGACATTTTTGGTGGTCAGTATATAAAGAAAATTTTAGGCGTGCTTGATCAATGTGGCGTTCGTTACAAGAAAGTTAGGACATAGAAGTTAGATTTTTATACTATTCCCATCCCAATCCAACCCAAACAACCTTCATATATACTACTAGTACTTCCTCAGTTCGTATTTAATATTGATGCCTTTATATATATAAAAATAAGGAAATGTGGTGATTGCCAATGAGACAACTATCCTCCAGAGTTAAAACGAAGTGGTAGTAAAGTAATTACAGGCTACCGTACGGCCTTCAACAATGAAAAACCATTTCGTATAAAGTCGGCTATAAAAGGCTCCGACACGCTTGCGAATGAACTCGAGTGCTTTAGACTCCAATTATTTTTACGTAATTTAGTGGATTCGCCAAATTGTCGTTGTGGTGCTATAAAAACAAGCTCTAATTTTTTATTAATAAATTGCAAAATTACACCCATAAGGGTCAAGCAATACAAACAAACAATTATACATTTTAAATACAATACAATATAATAGAACATATTTTAAGAGTTCAATTATAAATTTATGTAAAAAACACAATCATAAGCTTGTCTGATATGGGTCTGACCCCCTCAGTTCTAAAGACTGCTTAATAAAGACTCCATTACCAATATGACAAACAAGTTCAAGGATGGGGTTTAGAATGTGTTTTAGTTTATTAAATGCATCAAGATGTTGATGTGTCCTTACTATACTAACATACGCCAAGTGCTACTGAATTCTCTGGCTGATTTTCCGCAGCGTATTGATGTAAATATTTTGCTTTTTCGGTCAGATTGTTTAACTGATGACGAAAATTGTACTCTTTTTGTATTGGTATAGAAATATATAATATTGAAAAGTAAAAGATTCACACCATAATATGAAAGCTTCATTTATATGTTTTCCTTGCATTTCATTCAGCTCATTTCATTCACTTGTTTTTTGTTTGTTTTTTGTTTGTGTTTTTTTTCTCCCTTTTTTCTCAAACTATATAATCAATCTTATTTTGTATTTACTATTCTTAATATATCCAATTGACAGAGCATGCTCCAAGTATTCACTATATTGTATGTCAATATTCTTTTGGAGACAGATTAAAATAAGCAATGTTGCTTGTTTCTGGATCCTATTGTTTATACTGTATTATATTATATAGCATGGTTTGACTTATCGAATAAAATATTGTTTAAACCAAAGGCCCCGACATGAAAAATGAAAAAGAATTCAAAAACTAATTTACAAAAAAAAATACATATATGACAACTACAACCACTGTCTTGGATTCTCGAGTTTTAAGTGCCCACTTTTGTATCTTTTCATTTCTCTATTTGTCAATAAACACTTTCTGTTGCTTCTGGTTTGCGTCGATCGTGCATTGTTACCGTTATTTCAATTTATTTTATCTTTTTTTAGTTAAAAGGTAGTAGTATACTACTATTCAGTTAATCAAAGAACTAACACAACTATCTACACACCCCTATTCTCACCGGACGTGGCTGCGTACTTGAACATCCCACACAGCCAAACGGACACCCCATTTTGGCAAGGGTTTTTAATGCCGGTCGGAAGAGGATTTAAGTGACCATATTTCTAAATAAATTATCTGTAAGCTTCATACGATCCTTTCTGAAATAATAAAAAAAACAATTTGCATATAACATGCGTACACCTCACAAATATAATTCTTTAAATTTCTGATGGAAATGAAGCTATGATAGTGCTTAATTACTATGTTTCCAAGTATAGCATATGCTTGATCCACAGTCCTCTTCACAGTAGGGGCATTTGCACAAAGCACATTATTACATACTAATTTAGTATATTATTTGTTTTATTATATATGACTGAAAATTTATATTGTGGAAGATTAACTACCCTTCCTGACTAACTTCAATCACCAATGGTTTAAACGTAGTAGTCGTGCGTTTCTTGGTAGTGTTTTGAGAACTGTTGTTTGTCTGTCCTACTTTTTTGGCTTAGTTCATGGTGCTATTTGTGTATTTTATCGGAAATGTAGGAATCATCTTGTCCCTACGCCCATTTATGTTTTTTCTTACATTCATATGTCCATCCATTAGTCAAAAAAAACTTTGTGATGAGTAATATACTCCTCTTTGATACATCGCTTGGTAAATTTTAGTGAAGTTCAAAGTTTTAAAGTGCACATTTACATATTGTACAGGATGTGATTGTTTTAATTATAAACACATTCAAAACGAGTTAAATAGCAAGCAATTCAATCACCCCATTAAAGTCCCGGCTGTATATGATCTCATTTTTTACGCTTCTTTATCTCACATTTAAACATAGCATTTTGTATGGGTTTTTGTTAGGTCAAATAATAACAAAAACTTATTGCAGTTATGAGAAGATCGCACCAATAGAAAACCAAACGAACAGATTATATCATGCAAAACATTGGAATATAAAAAAAAAGATTTCATTTATTCATGTTATTGATTGGATAACATTTTAGATGTTTTCTCCATAAGATAGTTTTGGAAAGGAGAATACTTCAAATCAACTATTTTTGGCAACCAATTTATTTACGTGACTTTTGTAATTAGATAAATAACTCTTTTGTATGAAAATAAAGTATGAAAACCGCTGCCAGGTCAACAACAGTTGGGTTTAACGCATCAATTTAAAAAGTGCTCTGTTTTGTTTGTTTGTTTGCCTACTTTCAAAACTTCTTGGTGATGATTGGTTGAATTTTTGGTGTGACACATACCTAGTAATTTATTTTCTTATCTATTCTGTAGGTAACAATGTTACTATTTCGGAAGTCTAATTATAACTTTAATTTTTGCGAATTACTAGAATTTTCAAATCAAAAGAAATAGATTGTAAGTCAATGTATATAAAAATCCTCATAGATACCAGGTTTTAAACGTTGTACGCTAGACGCGCGTTTCGTCTACAAAAGACTCATCAGTGACACTTAAATCAAAGAAGTTTAAAAGACCAAACAAAGCACGAAGTTGAAGAGCATTGAGTACCCAACATTTCGTAAGGTTTTGTCTAATACAGCTAAGGTTATCTACTCCCGGGGTAGAAAAGCCGTAGTATTTATAAAAATGCAATGTTTTGTAAACAGTTAATTTACATTTATGACCATATCAGTGCTAATTCATGTCAACGCACAAGTGCTGACTAGTGAGCTGGTGATACCCTCGGGTA